TGTTGGCCTGTGGACTGAAGGGTCCTGGGTTCAATTCCAGTCAAGGGCACATGCCCAGGTTGTGGGCTCCATCCCCAGTAGAGAGCGTGCAGGAGGCAGCTGATCAAGGATTCTCTCTCTTCATTAATATTAATGTTTCTATCTCTCTCCCTCCCTTTCCCTTCCTCTCTGAAATAAAAATATATTAAAAAATAAAATCAATAAAAACTTAAGTTTTCAATTGTTTTCATGGGGTAGCATTTCACTGCCCATATATGCCCAAACACCGACCTTCGGAGAGAAACAGTTTAATATATTATCTGGATGGCAGGGTTTTACTGATATGATATGTGCTCCCCTAACTTTTGGTTTATAATACGCCATTTTAGAAAACAGGAGTATTTCTTGGCGCCCTCTTGTGGACATTTTGAGAACAACACCATAGTTAGGGATTAGTTGAAATAGTGCCCTCTTGTGGGCAATCTGAGAACAGCACCCCAGTAAGGGATTACTTGCAATAGCGCCCTTTTTAAATTATTTATTTTTAACATCTTTATTGTTGAAAGTATTACATATTCCCTCCCTTCTACCCCCATTGACCTCTTCTAGCCCGCCCTGACCCAAGACCCAGGCCTTCACCACGCTATTGTTTGTGTACAATACAAGTGTGGAAAACACTTGTATTTCTTATTCTGAAGAGCAGTTCTAAAATTTAAAGCATGTTGCCTGCAAGTTCTTAAGCAATCTAATTTTTTTTTTTAAATATCCTTTGGTTATAGTTTCATAAGGAAACATAAGCCTTCAAAAATTTATACAAATTTCTAATTAATAAAAAAAGAAGATATTCTAAACTTTGCAAATACTGAACCAAGCATACTTCATTAGTCAGGTTGAAAGCTGAAGAATACTTACATATACCTGTGAATATAAATTGTATTTGTTTTCTTCCAGAGTATACAAATGACCCAGGCGAGGGCAATCAGAAATTATGCTTCACAAAATCAAGACTAAAAAGATAAATCTAAGTCAGACTGTATTCCTATGTAAAATGACCTGGAAACTAAGCTATTAGTGAGTACACATTCACTTCAATTGCCAAACTGAACTCATGTACAGGCATCATTTAGCCTTTTCCTAATACACTACCCACCTAGAGGTGAAAATGCCAGGACAATCTCCAACTCTACTACTACTACTAGCTCCTGAAGATGACATAGAAACAGTGCTGGTTTTCTGGCTCTTAAATGACTACACCTTGAGGGGAAAAAGGCTTTTCAGACTGAACGGAACACATGCACACAACAGTCTACAGGACCCTCTTGGCAGAGTACGGTTTATTTTCCAAAGCACTGGTTACCAGTTATCCTTTTATAGCATGAACACAGCTCATTACCAAACAAGCTAGAATAACGAAGCCAAGCAACTGTCTATTTCTGTAAGACATAAGCACTACCAACCAATACACTGATGGATGATTCTGGATACACCAAGACCAAATAGTTATAAGAAAACAACAGAGCCAGAATATAATAATCTGTGGGCAAAGTTCAAACAAATGAGAGGTTTTGTGGCCCATCTGCTATTGATATAAATCTGAATGCAATGGGTGACCTAGGTTCCTGGACCCCAAATTCTTTCTTATTTGGTAAGTAAAGTTTTGTGGGGAAAATTTCTAAGAAATAATTTGTTGACTAATATAAAAAATCAAAAGGAGCAAATAGTTCCCTTATAATGAAGACTGCTTCTTCTTCATTCATATGGCACAATTCCTTATCCTCAATTCCAAAATTCCAAGTTTCTATAAAACTTTGGGACAAAATCAGACCTCATGTGGTGATACTCTTTATAATCTTCATTTGGCCCATTTAATGTAAATATTTATATATATTTTGCTTCATAAAATGCTCCGGAGTCTGCAATGGGTGCTACATTAGTGTATACTACGCACACTATACTTGTCTAAAATCCAAAGAATTCTGAATTCCAAAACACATCTGGCCACACAGGTTTACTAATAAGAGAATCTGAGTCCATAGTTCTTCCCTTCTATGTCCAAAGGACAATTTAAAGACATTAAATAGAAAAAAGAAAGACATTAGAGATCATGCCATAACATGAGCAATTAAAAAGTTAAAGAACACATACATTTATAGCTCAATTCTTTTTTCCCAGCTAATCCAGCAATCTGATAATGTTAAATGTCACTAAAAACTGGGGTGCTGATATTATCACTTCATATTTCTTCTTATGTTCCTCCCACACTAAGCTCCGTAAGCCAGAAACAAGCCCTGCAAGCGCCGCACTAGAGAGGGGTGTGATGTGTACACAACAGTCAAAGACTAGTTGTGAAAAACATCGTCTCATAACCACTGAGTAATAAAAAACGCTCTGGCCAAAGCCGGTTTGGCTCAGTGGATAGAGTGTCGGCCTGCGGACTGAAAAGTCCCAGGTTCGATTCTGGTCAAGGGCATGTACCTGGGTTGCCGGCACATTCCCAGTAGGAGATGTGCAGGAGGCAGCTGGTCAATGTTTCTCTCTCATCGATGTTTCTGACTATCTCTCTCCCTTCCTCTCTGTAAAAAATTAATAAAATATATTTTAAAAAAATAAAATAAAAAATAAAAACCGTTCTGACATTCAACATCTTGGAAAGAAATTTCTGGAATCTCAAAGTCTTGTCCAATAGAAAGAGAAAAGACAGCTCAAGCAGCCCACACTCGTCAACCGTACAGAAAGCTTAGTGCTCACATCTACCACGGCTGGTCCACTGACCAAGTTCCCGGTGAATTCTCCCTCGTCATTTCCAGATAAATGGGAAATCACTTTGGCCGGCCTGGTCTGGCAATGCTCTCTGCAGTCTGAATATCAAACGGCAAGCAGCTAGTGGGCAAAATAACTCTGGGCCTATGGGAAACTCATGCCTCCAATACAAAAGAGAGGGTAAGAGACAGGCCTAGAAGTTCTCACTCCTGTGAGGCGGGTCTGGGTTCTGTGCTGGAAGGAAACCAAAGCACCAGTGCAGTGGCTGGTAGAAGTTTTCAAGTTCCCGCAGGAAGAATTATAAACCAACAACTATGACCGGAAAGGTTAGGACATACATACATACATACATACATACATACATTCATTCATTCATTCATTCAATGCTTCTTCAGTCTCCTGGTTGCTAATGAGACAGATTAGCACTTGTTTGAATTTATGGCAAGTCAGCTAGGAAAAAACTGATTTAGTCTTAACCTTCAAATGTACTTTTTACTTTTAAAATATCTTTCCATGAAAAAAATTGTATCTTAGAATGAAATATTCCACGACCATCTTCATGAAGAGAATCTGTGGCTCTCTATGGTGGAGAAAAAAGATTTTAAAAGCATCAGAGCTAGCCCTGACCGGTTGATAGAGCATCGGTCTGTGGAGTGAAGGGTCCCAGGTTCGATTCCGGTCAAGGGCAGGCATGTACCTTGGTTGCGGGCACAGCCCCAGTAAGGGGTGTGCAGGAGGCAGCTGATGGATGTTTCTCTCTCATCGATGTTTCTAACTCTTTATCCCTCTCCCTTTCTCTCTGCACAAAAATCAGTAAAAACAAAAAAAAAAAAAAAAAAAAAAAAAAGAAAAAGAAAAGAAAAGAATCAGAGCTATCAATATATTTGGCTATTAACCCCAGTAACCATTCATTGTAAGGTAAAATATAAAAAGCGTATTTTAAAAATTTTTCTTAAGTTTGACTTTGCTAGCCATCCACTTGAATTTCTTATAAGTACTGTTCTAGAGTTTAGTTTTATAAGAGTTTTGGGTTTATTAGGCTCCAAGTCTATTATAAGCATCAAGCATCTGCTATTAAAATTTTTAAATAAAAATGTTTTTTTAAAATTAGTTTCCAGTAGGTTAACATACTATTTCAAGAATCATTTGTAGATTCTATTCTTTACCATATGTTATAATCATTTTTCCTGTCAATTAAAATATGTGGTTCTCATTATTGCAAATGTTTGCCTTTTATGGCATACTGCACCTTTAAGTGTAATACACAACGCACAGTCATCAGCTCTCACAAGGGATATCACTTTCTGGGCAAAAATACCGTGACCCCAATTGGTTAACAATTTAGGAAATGTATATAAACACCATGTGGTGACCCACTTTTCTTATGTCCTTTGTATTGCTGGGACTTAGCCTTTTTCTTCTGTTTTGATGAACCTGATTGGCTTTCTCTTGTCGCTGAAAGATAAAAGGGAAAATTGGTACAAGATAATTGCTTACCACTAACCATAGGTACAACTTAAATGAACTATCTTTACCAAGAACCGTTACACTTGTAAAATTACATGATGCTTTGAAAATAAGAGTGCTTGTTCTGATAAAACCATAAACCCCAATACCAGACAGATTCCACTATCTCTTCAATAAGCACTTATCATATTCCAGTAAATTATTGGCCTATCATTTTAAACTCATTAAAATAGGCCTACTTTAATGTGGTAAGTGCTCCTACCATTGTGTTTCTATAGTCATTAGGAAACTCACTACTGAGTTTGCACGGCCATGGTACACATGCTCTAATTCTGTGATACTGTTTTTTGAGTCTTAAGATCTTACCTGGCAACCAATCAGACATACACATATTCTTGTCCTGTGAGCTCACAAGATGAGCATTGTGAGACAGTCCACTGAAGAATTGCTGACTTACAAAAGGACACCTTTCTGTATACCAACTTACACTGTGATGCGGGAGGCTGTAGTTGATATCCAGTTAATTGACACCACCCTACAGGATAGAGGTCAGGAGACTCACAGTCTACCCACTGGTCATATTCTTCTTCCCATCCATCAAAGTGTATCCTCAAGAGGCGATGAATGATTCGAGTTACTGTGGCTACACATATTAAACGTGGCTCCATGAGATCTACTGCTTCTAACTTCATTCCGACACGAAATCCGTGATTTGGAACATCCTGACGTGGAGAAGCAAAACATTAATACTGGTGAGAAGACGGATGCATAACTCCAGTATCACTATGAGAGGGAAAGAAAGAAACCAACATAACCACATAATGTAATTTAAACCAAAAATTCCCAGATAATTCTTTAGTCATTGAAACGTGTGAAGGTGAAGCATTTAAGAACTAGATAGGCCACGTATTCATTTTTATGTTACTCAGATTAAAAAATGAAACCCTGTTTGGAAACAAGCTTCACTTCCTAGGTAAAGGAAGTATTTATATTGTTTTATTACTCGCTATTTTTTAAAATATAAATCTCCAAAAAAAAGGAAAGAAAAAAATAACAATAAAAGCAAAGATAGTTTCTCAATAATGATGAACATTTTTGTGTACAATTCCACATAATCATGCCATCAGTGAAATTTACCTTATTAAATAGTTTTACTGGTGCTGCAATGGAGCCAGTTTCCCTGAGGTAGTCAAACCATTTAAAAGGAAGTTTAGTGTAACCTGTGGGACACAATTGGTTTAAGTAGCAGTTCATTTAAAATTAGCATAATACTAAAAGCAGGTAACAAGCAACTCAGCACAAGCTCAGGTTTGAGGTTATAATTCTCGCTCCGATACTGTTGAGTCTCACAGCTCCTCCATGTTATAAAGGTTTTCCTTCTTTTCTAGACAGACACTGGTGTACCCACTTATCCTAACGCAAACACGACTCTCCCTTCCTCTGGCACCACAGGAACTAGAGACTTCTGCTTTCTCAACCCTAGGCTTAGAACAGTCCAGCCTCTAGCACCTTCCAGCGACATTCTTTTCTTTACAAATGCTATTTTTTATAGACATCTGGGTTTGTCCCCCCCACCCCGCCCTTCTTTTCTTAAAGAAAAACCATAGGCTCAGATGTTAAATCAGAGAAGTTGTGAGTTAAGCCACGAGAGCTATTTAAGGTTCTACCTTCTTTTAAAAAGCCACATGACTCTAAAAATGGGAACTTGCCCCCTCAGCACTAAAGTATCTATTAAAAAAACCAGTTAAATGTATGCAATAACCTATTGAGCTTAATCACCATTTCAACAGTGCTTGAGAATACAAATTCATATTATAAAGTATATGGATTCTCAGAAAAAATTCTATACTAACAATTTATTAAAGCTACCTGGAATATAGTGCTTTGATTTTAGACCATCTCACAGCTCTTATGGTGTGTGCATATATTCATATATGCAATATATACACAGATATTCACACAGCAAGAAGCCCAGGGCTGTGTTAAATGTTGTAAACAGATATCACATAAAAGGAAAGCAAGAATGAAAACCCAGTATGTGTATTAGGATGAAGTACCTCTAGGTGGAGTAAGTTCAATCATGTTAATTTCACAGAAACCAACAGGGAAAATAGAAGGGGAGGTTGCATGATAACAGAACCAGTCAGATCCATCTGCTGCTTCTGAGCCATCGATCCCAATCATTAGGAATCCGTCAGCCAGCACCTTTTAAATGAAAAGAATTCCAAGTATTTGAAATTAGACACCACTATTTTTTAAAAAAACATTGATTTTTTACAGAGGGATAGAAAGTTAGAAACATCAATCAGCTGCCCCCTGCACGCCCCCTACTGGGGATCCAGCCCACAACCAAGGCACATGGCCTTGACCGAAATTGAACCCAGAACCCTTCAGTCTGCAGGCCGAGGCTCTATCCACTGAGCCAGACCAGTTAGGGCTAGACACCACTATTACAAAAATGACCCTTTAAGTTTAAGTAACATACTAAAGGAAAGGAAAATCTATGACATAAAAGATTTCTTAAAAGTGAAAAATGCTTGCCAGGGGATTCTTAGGCCTGAGAACGGAGAACCACTCTTAAATCTTTTCTTATAAGCAGTTTCAGAAAAAAGGAAAAAGAAAAAAGAAAAAAAGAAAGTACTTCCTACCAAAAGGAAGGAAAAGGCACAAAAAGTTAACAAAGGAAACTGAAGATAAACTTGGCCTTGTTACAATTCTGTGTTGAACTAGTTTGGACCAGGAAGTAACTTAAATATTTTTCCTCTAATTTAGGATATACTTCAACAAATAAAGGCAGCGACTCAAGAGGACAATCTTAACAAGCTATACAAGAAGAGAACCTCTGATAAGAGAATTCAAAGTCACTTTAAATACTCAACTCTCGTCTCCCCAGTGAAGATGCACACACACACACATTTTATGTCAAAAAGAATTCTATTCGGGGCCTCCTTCTCCTGTAACTTTAAAAACAGTTCTTATAACTGCATTCCTGTATTTTAAAACCCATTCTTGTACCTTTCTAATGGTTGCCACACATATTGTGGAAAGATTTAATGGGTCTATAGCTTCCAATTTCATTCCTTCCTTGAACCATTCCCCACTCTGGTCCACTTCTTTTACCTAAAGAATTACAGGAAAGCACATCACTGTTACAAATATTATCATTTTAATAATGAAAGTGTTACCAATTTGAAAAGGTTTACCAGATGGAAATACCAAATGCCTTCTCCTACCTACCTAATATTTTAATGCAAACTTTCATTAGGGAACAGAGAGAATTCAGGCAAACAGACAGAATTTAAAAATAATTATAATAAATAGTTGTGACACCTATGAATTACAAGGTCTTAATCCTTTTAAGTGAACATATGTAATTGTGATTTCTATAATTTTAGGAAAAAAACCCCACAACCCTCTTTTAAACATAATTTACAAATGAGGGTTCTTATAAAAACTTCTTACCTTAGCAAATAAATGTGGTGGTGTATCAAAATGTCCATCCTGTTTCTTTGTAATATCTACAAGGAAAAGTTACATACTAATCTGTCAGCATTTGTGAGAAGACCAAAAACCACGTTTCTTTGAAGGTTTCAAACTCACAGGGAATGTATACTCTAAAACACGGCAAAAATATATGCCTTCTACATTTATGATTAGTAACCTTTAATATCTTTCTCTCTTCAGAGTACATGTGCCAATTAGAATGCTGATAATTCCCTAATGAGGGAATTATTACTTTAAGTGTGTTTTAATGTGTTCAGTATTAAGTTTAACCACATGTAATTCTGCTATTTTGATTAAAATTGAATGGAAAGAGAAAGGATAAAGACTTAGATCTTTCAAATGGGGTGGATAAGAAAAATGTAAGAAAACAAATGTAGTTGTGACCATAAGTGCATTATTTTTTAATTGAGGACGAGTGGAAGAAGGAATTAGGACACAAATATTCTGTGTGAAGCTTCTCGATTACGGTAGAATAAGCTGCCCAGACAACTAGAATGCTATCTTTGACCTATGCTCTTCTGTAGAGAAAAATAACCAAGTAGCAGACTTCAGCCTCAACGACATTGTCAATAGAGGAGTTCTCATGGCAGGTGCTTACCAGATCTTTTGAATCGATGGCCTATGCTTCGAGACCAGCCAATATGATGGATCAGTGAGCTGTGCATATGGCACCAGAAGTCATCTGTTTTATCTTCGCTGTCTTCATACACTAGTCTTAATCGTCCTCCAATTACACTTTCCACCACTGCTACTCGTGTTCGACACAAATGTCTCTTGTCAACCACTTCTACTCTCATGCAAGGTTTGAAAGGATACTGCATACTTTCTGAAACCTTGAAACAAAAGCAGACAAAAACTCTGGGATTCATGACAGAAGTCTACAAATTATTTTACTATTGCACTATTAAAAATAATGATATTTACTACAGCTCTGGCTCACTAAATTAAAACAATTCCTTAAAAACTTGAAAGTTACTTCTTTTTACAGAGCTCTCATTTGACACTTCAGTCCTTTTCTAAGATTCCATCTTTTTTTTTATATATATATTTTATTGATTTTTTACAGAGAGGAAGGGAGAGAGAGAGTTAGAAACATCGATCAGCTGCCTCCTGCACATCTCCTACTTGGGATGTGCCCGCAACCCAGGTACATGCCCTTGACCGGAATCGAACCTGGGACCTTTCAGTCCGCAGGCCGACGCTTTATCCACTGAGCCAAACCGGTTTTGGCTAAGATTCCATCTTTACCTTTTGTGAGAAGTCGGGAGGAAGTGTTTTGGCACCAGTAAGTCGTTTCACTAGAAAAGCTTTCCAGTTCGTATACTTATGATGAATAGCTAAAACAAAAGAAATAACCAGTTACACCTTAGTGAAAAGTGAATTGCTGCATAAAGTATTTGTTGAAAAAAGAAACAAATTTCCTTGCAATTTAGAATATTAAGGTCCTGAAGAGCAACAAAAATAGAGAAAACAAATATGTCTTGCCAGCAATTAAGTTAATTGAAACCAAAAAATATATTCTTAATTTCTGTATCACCTTAATGTTACTATGAGTGAAACTGCATTTAAGTCTGTGCATTTATATCACAGTAAGGGTAATAAACTTGCTTACTTCTAGGAGGGACAAGAGGCTTCCCACTGGCTGCACACCAGCCAACTGGACGGATATCAGAGCTACAGATATTGCACCAGAAGTCCAGAGCAGAGTCGTTTTCAAATCCTTCATATCTTAAAAGGGCATTGTAACCTGAAACCAACAAATGAATCACCACATAAGGAAAAAATAAATGAAATAAAGTAAGATCTAGCTGCTGGTGATGGCTGTAAAACGTTAGTGTGTATCTGCAACAGAAACACTTGCAGGGCTGAGAACAGATGGCTAGCCCTGAGATTTTGATTTAGCAGATCTTGGGTCAGTCTGAGAATGTGCATGTCTAACAAGTCCCCAGTGATGCTGCTGCCCCTGGTGTATGGATCAGACTTGGAGAACCATTTGTACAGTACAATTAGTTTTACTGTTTTCAAAGCTTGGCTTCCTCCTTAGAATATATTTCAATTTTACCCATGGTTTCTTACATTTTAAAACAGAAATTCACAGTGAAAACAGAGTTGGGAAAGTTCTATTAGAATGTGTAGTTTTGAAAATAAAAGAAAGAAGATTGTGTATGGTTAGTTAATAAAATCTTTTCAAGTCAGAGAAACACAGTTAAAATACATTTCAAAGAAATTATTTTACTCAGCTCAACGGGCGACCAATTATTCTTGGATAATTTGGATTTAGCTACTTTAAGAGTCTAAACTTTTCTGTCCTGTTTATTTGGAAATAAGATTTGAAAATGCTAAGTAAAGAAATTCAATAAACACAGATGAAAGTCTATGAAATCACTTAAAAAACTGTATGTACTAAGCAAATAGAAAGATGTATTTTATAGAAATAACAGAAAGTATATAACCTATTTATGATTTAATAAAATCTTATGTTGAAATAGATTAATGTTTAATTTAAGGTGTTTAGTAGAATAAAAGAGGCCAAATAAACTTATATTTCAGGCCGGGAGCTACATTTAGTCAGCCTTTATATGTTAATATCTATGATAAAAATTTATAGCATTGCATCTTTAGTTTTAAAATGCAGTAAGTCACAGAATAATTCATGAGTTTGCTAACTGTTGCTGAGCTCTGGTTCATGATTAACACCAGGCTCACTTCTAAAACATCACTAAAGTGGCTTAGAATAAGATATATGAGTCAATTAGATAAAACAGAAATGTAAAATCAGAGACGGAAGGTAGAAATAATTCTCGGATATTAAATGCAACGGATTTAAACACCTAGGACAGAAACAATATATTGCTGCTTTAAATTATGGTGTAGAGGATAAGAGTAGCATTTAGAGAATGCTTACATAGCAGGGGAAGCATTTCAAGGAAAAGATAGGAAATGAATTGGGTTATACGCCAAGTACAAAACATGGGACATTCTTGTGAGAGTAAGCAAAGGCACGGAGATGACAGAGAACACACTGTATGAGGGCGGAGGAAGATTAATCTCTTTAGAACAGATGACTTATATTGGGGAGCAACAAAAGATTTGGTCATTGGTGTACGGTGCAACTCAAATGGCTGTAAATGCTGGCCATCTTCAACCTTTAAGGACAAAGAAGCCAGAAAGGTCTTGAAGAAGAGCAACAAAAATAGAGAAATGCCTATGCATTTGTGCATTAAAGACATTTCATTTGGAAAAATGGAATTAAGATCATTTTTAGGTAAGTTAAGTCTATCGATGACTGGGGGAGAATTTCTGGAAAGGACTAGAAAGAGCAGGATAAGGCACCAGTAATCTAAGGGTAACTCTTCTTATTTGAGTGACTGTCCCTCCCCTAAAGTACTACAGCGCCCTGTGACACCACCACTCACTGAGCACCTTGTCATAAACTTTTTAAACGTTTGGCAGATGTAAGCTCACAGAAAAAAACCAAGTCTTACATTTTGCACATCACCTGCCTACAGTGTCTAACAGAGTAAATACCTAATGCATTTACTTCATGAGCAATAAGGTAATAAAGGATCAGGGTACACAAAAGTAGTGGACATGAAGAAAAAGGAAGAACTCAAGATACATGAAATTATCAATACTAGTTTACTTTTGATATTGTGACTCTTATCACTTTTTTTTTAATACCTCTACTGTGTGTTACTTTTCAAAGTATTTTCCTATTCCAGGAGTTGGCAAACTCTATTATGGCTCACAGATCTGGTCTGATCTGTTGTTGTTTTTAAATATATTTTTAATGATTTTGAGAGAGAGAGGAAAGGAGAGGGACCGAGAGAAACATCAAGGTGAAAGGAGAACATCAATTGGCTGCCTCCTGCACACCCCTCACAACCTGGGCATGTGCCCTGACCTAGAGTCAAACCCATAACCTTTTGGTGCACGGGATGATGCTCAACTAACTGAGCCACACTGGCCAGGGCTGGCCTGATGTTTTATAGCCTGCCATCTAAGAATGGTTTTTACATTTTCAATGATTGAAAAAACAACAAAGAATAGTATTTCATAATAGGTGACATTTATATAAAACCCAAATTCAGTGGCTATAAAGTTTTACTGAAACACAGCCATGCCTATTCATTTGTGTATCGCTATAGCTGTTTTCATGCTACAATGGTCAAGTTGAATAGTTGTGACAGATTGTTTTGCCCAAGAAGCTGAAAATACTTATCTCTGGCTTTTAACAGAAAAAGTTTGCCAACCCCTGCCCTAATACCATATTTATTTATTTGGCAACATTTGCAAAATTTACAAATATGTTTCCTTAAAAGTTACACACATAATCGGCATTTTCTAGAACAAGATGCGTGCTTTTCACCTGCTAATTTTACAATCCCAGCAATCCAGAAGACTTTGGTAGGCAGGCTGCAGTCTGTATTGGGAACTTCTACTCTCACATTTTCTGAGATATCACCCCAGCAGGTCCCCATAGGTGCCTGTCATATAAAAATTACTAAATTATCATCTTATTAACATAAAACCTAAAACATACCATTCAAAATTAAGCATTACTATCAATAATAAAATATTAAACTAAAAATGCCATTTAATTCATTCACTTTTCTTTAAAAATATAATTGTTATTCCCCTTTTCACAGTATTCTATTTGTAAAAATCCAGTGACAAGGTCAAGCTCAAGATGAAGAGGATTCACATGTATTAGAATAGATCCATGTCGACCAAAATTCAATAGTCCTAATACAAGACTTGAGCAGCAATTTTTATAAAAACTGAATCACAACTTGAAGGGACTTCACAGGATAAAGTTGACTTAAGAAACTCATTATTTTTAATATGCACTGAATAAATACTTTAGTTTAATCTCTAATTTTAAAAGATCTCACCAAAGAGCAGAAAGAAAAAATTCCCATCAGCAACGTGGTATCCAATAACAAAGGAGAAACAAAACTTAAATATCTGTATTTTCAACTTAGTTAAATTCATAGAACAGAAATATAGCCTGATAAACAGACATGTGGCAAAAGCACTGGGTAAAGCTATTTAAAAGTGGGAGTTGAAGAGTTTTTGAAGATGCATACCATAGTAACTTGTTAAATAATTTGTTATTTCTAAATTTCTCATGCAGGAGTTACTGTAAACAAAAAGAAAACTTTCAATGTTAGAACCGGTAATCAGTAGCCTCCAGACTACTTTAACAAAAGGTTATTTTAACCTTTAACAAAAGGTTAAAATGAGGATTCAGAAAACCAACTAAACGACTATCATGAAGGGATTTTCCAAAATTCACATATGTTCCTAAATTACAATTTCCATTACATTTTAATCCTTATAACTTGAGGCCATTTACAATTATCTGGAGCGTATGCAATGGTAAATTAAATCAAATGAGTGAATTCAGGAATATAAATGCTGATAATACTAAACAGTCTCTATGGCCTTTGATATCAGCTCCAGGAAATATAATTCAGAACCTTGATCATGATTAGGTGAGATTATAAAAGACCTGATAATACAAGCAAATCAGGAAAAGACAAAATAGCTTCAAGGCTCAAAGATGAGTAAACACAAAGACATCTAGGAGTCACAGGATCTAGCCAATTTGAACACTGGGCAATGTTTTCCATGCAAAGCCTTCCATACATTGGCAAATGCTAACCCAACAGGAGCATTAGCCTAAAACAGTTCTCGAACCCTATCCTTTCAATACTTCACATGGAACTTCTGAAGGAGAGGAAGAAAATGTCAGATAATACCGAGCTAGGGTAAGTCTGGCACAAAACACGAATCGATTTATGGCTACTGCTTGAAGTAGCAAACAAACTTGAAGACAGTGGCCTATCTCAACTATGTGTGATTCTGGAAGGGTACATGTAACTACCTCCCTGAGCTGTGCAAAAAAATAATACCTCCGTCATGATGACCTCTTCCTGCTTTTTTAAAAAACGGAAATACTGGGCTCTTCGGGTTCTGCTATCTCCCCCTGTATCATTCTAGACTGTAGGGCCATCCCTATTGCCAGCAGATATGACCAGAAAAGGAGAGGCTGGGAGGAAGATAGTAACACAGATTAAGCTAAGATAAATTAACACAAAGACCATGTATTCAATTCTGTGAGGATGGACCAATTAGAGTCGACAGATGTAGTTAAAAGTATGTATTGAATTCAGGTAGGGTATTCATTCATCCCTCTGTGTTTGGCTGCCAAATCTTATGGAATGGGTTTATTTTTCATTGAGAAGAAAGAGGCATGGTATTGCTGAGTAGCTGGGGTTTATGTTGGCACATTGCTAAGTACATTTGGCAGACAGGACTCCTTTTTGAACTAGATATGACAATGTCATACTGATTTTTTTTAAAAAAAGCCTTAACAATTGTTTGGAGAAAATAACTTTTAGTCACATTAAAGAAAACAAAGTATCAATATGCTCACTTAAAAAATAGAGTTCATGTTGACTTTAGCAGGGGATCTTATGTTCTGGTCCCTACAGTCTGGATTGGTATAGGAGAAAGTAGCAGAAAGTGACATTTGTTCTTGCCTGTAAGTTTGTGGTTCTGCTAGGCCCTCTTAAACCAATCCATATGGTTTACTCTAAGAAAAAAAAGTAGGAAAAACAAAAAAGAGCACAATAGTCACTGAATAGTATGTGCTCGATGTGTTGAAATAAGGTAATTTTATAGATAATGCCCTTTTGTTTAAAATGAATATTCTTAAGTGTGGAAGACTAAATGACCCAGGGCTTGACAGCCATCTTCATCCAAGTCATCTGTCTTCTCTTGCTGGCAGGAGGGATACCTCTGAAAGTCTGGATTGGCATAGCATGAACTAGCAGAACCATAATTTACAGGTAACAACAAATTTACCTTCCAGACTCAGGGCGAGAGGTCCACCTCAGGCTCCTCCCAAACCAGGAAGATCTGCTTCACCACTTCCTGCTCCGGGCCGCTCGTGAGGCTATCTGGGAGCGACTCTCCTTCCCTGCAAGGTAAGCTATCATCAGGTCCTGCGGACATGGCCACGTCCAAATGCTGAGGGCTCCCCAGCACAAATGCATAACCTCCACCTGACTGTCTGCAAGGAAGTAATTCGATGGGAAGCCTTATTTTCTGCACTTCAAGAATGTTCCCAGACAGTCCAGCAGCCTGAGTGGCTGGCATTTAGACTCTCAGAGGGCTGATTCATGGCAGAAATACAGATTTCCTTCCATAGAGCTGCCAACCTATAATTTTTTTATTTAATCCTCACCTGAGGATATTTTTTCCATTGATCTCTAGAGAGAGTGGGAGAGAGAGGAAAGAGAGAGAGGGAGAAACATCGACGTGAAGAGACACATCAATTGGTTGCCTCCTACACTTGGCCCTGCACTTGCTTCTACCAGGGCTGGGGACCCTGCGATCGAGGTTCCTGTCCTGGACTAGGTATCGAACCTGCAACCATTCGGTCTGGGGACAGACGCTCCAACCACTGAGCAACACTGGCCAGGGCCGACTTGTAACTTTTGCTAATCACACACAATCTTCAATATTAACAGAATTTAAGTGGGCAGAGGTTAGACTTGAAATTGCATACAGGTAATAAAAAAAATCAACCCCAATGATGATATGGCAAATGCAGAAAAAGCCATCATTAGAATATGTTAAGACTAATAGGCATATGATTACTAAAGTACATCAAGTAGAAAAAGATGAAATATTTGGCTGAAAAAAGGAAGAAAACATTATAGGAAATTAGCTAGAAAGAAATTAGAGCTCCTAAATACTACTTGCTAGAATTAACAGGAAGCAGAAACAGAAGAAAAAAAAAAATCACTCCCATTCACCTTTGATACTAGAATCTATTTTTTGGGGTGGTGGCAGCTGGGAGATGGGAATTGCAAGGCAAGTACAAAAGGAAAATGGGATGTTTGGGGTGAAAGGATTACAAACGAGAGAATGCCATGTGCACATAAAAAGGAAAAGCAGTGGTTATTAGTTTGAATGACATAAAACAGTACATAACTAAAAAAAAACCCCACATTAAACCAATATCATTTAAGAAAATAATCTAGGGGGTGGGGGCAATAGGGGGAAAAGGACACATATGTAATACCTTAATCAATAAAGAAAAAAAATAAGAAAAAAAGAAAATAATCTAGATTACTTAGGATTTCTTTAAAACGGGTGATTTTTATTGTATTACAGTTCACTGCTTTCCTGGAAAGAATCATTTGTGGCAAGACAATAGCTAACTCAGATGGGACACTACTAAGTGCCAGAAATTTAAGCTTTATTTCCATTAGAAAGAAACTCTGCCATCTAGGATGACATAGTGAAGAGTCTAACATAGTTAAAATGAATGTAAAGTCATATTTATTTTCAACTTTCAATGAGTAAGTGCCTATGTGTGGTCAAGGTTAAGGAAAAATATTTTTTTAATTGAAAGAGATTATTTTAATAAGCACATATCTGAGAAACATAAGTATTACTATAAACTACTGTTACTGTACATATACGTACAAAAGGGCTTTTCTTTTATTCTTAAAATTTAAAAATATAATTGTGATACATGCTGCAAAGAAAGGATTAGAAAATATCAAGAAAGGTATCAGCTACTATTTGTGGAGGCAGGATGAAAAAGTGTAGTAAAGTTATGGCAAACATGTAAAAAGGACCTTTCAAAAAAAACCAGAAAACTAAAACTATTTCCAAGGGGGGAAAAAGCAGGATGTTAGCATTTCTGGCTTTAGTGAGCACAATGACAAGATACCAGTGTAAATAGTCCAGGGACCAAACAAAATATGAAACCTGCAAACACATAACTGAAGGAGGATGATTTTCAGCTTTTGTGTGGCTCATGTACATTTGATATTGATGCATTTTGCCCTCTGCTGTAATACCTAGGGAATGTTTTACTTGATTTTATAAGGCAAATCATGGGAAATAGGAGCATTTCAACATAAAAGACTACAGTTTTTATGGCGACAATGCTCTAACCAACCGAGTTACTGGGGAAGGGCTGAACTAGATGATTTTAAAGACGACTCACAGTTTTGTGCCATATGACTTAGAATTAAAAATGATGTCTAACTCAGTGGTTTCTAACCTCAGGGACTGCCAAGGAAGCGGGGGCCAAGGGCCAAGGCTCTAGCCATTCTATCCCACCTCTTTTTTTTTTTAAATTAATTAATTTATTTTTAATTTTTTTCTTTATTGATTAAGGTATTACATGTGTCTTTATTCCTTCTATTTTTTTATTGTCTAAAGTTTTACATATGTCTCCTTTTCCCCCAATTGACCCCCACCCCCCCACACCTCTTTCAGACAATCAGAACAGCTTCCTCTTATCCTAGCTATGTTTATTAGGGAAAAGGGGAATGCTGATGCTTAAAAAAAGTCTGAAAACTACCACCTAGATAAAATAAAAGATACATCAGAAATGTGGCAACCATAATATACAGATTTCTAAGTAGATACATTTAATGACAACTGAGCTTCATTTCCATTGCTAAATTATAAAAAACATCAAATGCTGTTGTAATTGAGTATAAACCACTATGCATAAATACTGCAGTTACCACACCAGCCTCCCTCCAAATTCCTGGTTCAATCAGAACAACTCTGCTTCTATGTTACACACTGGATGTTGTTGTTTTTTTAAGTATGTTTTTATTGATTTCTTTTTAGAGAGAGGAAGAGAGAGGGAGATAGAGATAGAAACATCAATGAGGAGAATCATTGATTGGCTGCCTCCTGCATACTCCCTAGTGGGGATCAAGCCTGCAACCCGGGCACGTGCCCTTGACTGGAATCGAACCCGGGACCCTTCAGTCCATAGACTGACGTTCTATCCACTGAGCCAAACCAGCTAGGGCCACATTGGATTTTTTAAAAAATATATTTTATTGATTTTTTACAGAGAGGAAGGGAGAGCGATAGTTAGAAACATCGATGAGAGAGAAACATCGATCAGCTGCCTCCTGCACATCTCCCACTGGGGATGTGCCCGCAACCCAGGTACATGCCCTTGACCAGAATTGAACCTGGGACTCTTCAGTCCGCAGGCCGATGCTCTATCCTCTGAGCCAAACCGGTTTCGGCGGATTTTTTTTAAAATTATGTTTGAATAAAGAATTCCCTAGCAGGGAAAGGCTCCCAACCTGTGCTCATGTTGAAGTCAAGGTGTATATAGAGTTTGGAGGAAGCAGGCCCTACTGATGAACCAGTGTTAGGCAGATCTTGTGTTTCCAGCTGATGCCGACAGTAGGTTTTCTAAAGCCAAAGCTAGTAACCCTCCCTGGAGACCTAAAAGCGTATCTCAGGGGGAGAACCACGAAGAGTCAACTCTAAACAACAAAATCAAGTGTAGCATGAGGTGTGATCTCCTAAACCAAATGGTTTTAGATGAAGATGCTGGTTAAGCCTCAAAGCAAACTCATTAGTACTAATATATACTTAGAAATTACCAAAGTATGTTTTTTCCTATTTGATAAGGAGAAGGCAGTAAAGAAAGATGAGTGGAGCAGAAAGGCACTCGGTAACAGATGCCTCGCCTCTGTGTGCAAAAGAGGAGTCTCCACTGTATTATTATTATTTTAAAGCTGATTTTAGAAAAAAGGAAAAAATTGATTTTAGAGAGAGGGAGGGTAAGGGGGAAAACTGAGATACAGATAGACAGATAAGAGAGAAACATTAACGGTTGCCTCCCTAAGTGCCCCAACCGGGGACAGAACCTGCAACCTGGATATGTGCCCTGATCAGGAATCGAACCCACCACATTCTGGTGTATGCTCCAACCAACTGAGCCACACCTGCCAGGGCCACAGCATTCATTATTGATAACACAATTAAAGCTAGATACTCTAATAACTAGAGGCCCGGTGCATGGTGGGGTCTGGCTGGCCCGCCCTGGGCCAGCGGGGGCGGGGAGGGAGAGGGGGGGAACGACGACACAGGAGGTTGGTGGACCGGCCCTGCCCCTGGTTGAACTCTGGTCAAATGGACAATTTGCATATTACCCTTTTATTATATAGGATAATACTTTAATCTTAATAAAGCGAAGTTTCAATTTCATTATTATAATTGAGATTTTCTTGAAAAGAATTTTAATATAGTTTTATTATTCAAAGATATGGATGTGAAATAAAACATGAAATTGGGACTTTGATATGCTATTTAAAAAATATTGACTACTTACATAAAATAGCTAGACATGGCTTATGATACTGAAACATAAAAACCAATATTAAAATAAAGATAATAAAGAATAAAGGCTATTTAGGAGACAACAGACAGTGTTCCAGGAATCTGGGATGAAAAACTTATTACAACTGAAAGCAAACTAATTCTGAGCTTCTTAGTACCAGAAGGAACTATCCCAAGAGACAGTTAAAGATTTGTTTAGTAATTCTCTTTAAAGCTGCTGTTGCCATGTATTTAATAGCTCTCACAAACCTGACACCACTATCCACATTACAGCAAAATAAATCACCCAAGTTACACTGTGGTAAGTATCTAAGATTCCACTTAAGTTGGTTCAGATAGTTACCGTGCCACCAGGACTAAGGGCTTAACACTTGTACTTTCAAGAAAGAAAACCAGCAAATGAATGAACTTGCTTTAATTTATATTTCTACCACTAAATTAATATGCTTGGCCTTGATCAAGATATTGTATTAGCCATGAATGAATGAAAATTCATTTGGATTTCTGCAGCAAGAACTCAAACTCAGTTTTGTTTACTGCTATTATTTAAAAGTATAGCCCTAACTTAATAAAATGTTAAGTGTAAACAAAATGTCATTCATTATTTTTCTAAATTCTCTTTTGTATACATGGTCAGTAGCAGATAGAACCCTTACATATAAATTGAACTTGTAGTCAGGTTACAAAAGCATTGTAGAAAAAAAAATTGCAGATAGTTTATCACAGGCTCTTGAATCAAAAAGAAATAGAATCAAAAGGAAAGAACTTCTCATCAGATCCATTTTAAACCTAACTGAATAATTTCTGATGCTTTGTAACAATCTAATTGCTAAAAAAAATCTAGGAGTGGGTTATGCATGATATATATACCACATATTTCAGCCCACAATACTGTATTACTAATAGTTCCTTCTGTGCTTTGGTGCTTTTACATTTGGAGACAAAAATAAAACTGGAAGGCAGACCCTTTCTTTTCTGAATTATTAGGTCAAATCACAAAGATTTAGGTAACACACATAATAAACGATTTCTATTGTTGAATGACATGACATTGCCACTGTATAATTATTTTTTATACAAAACCAGCAACTTAATATAAAACCTGGATGAGATTAGTGTTTTTCCTTGTTTAAAATAATTTCAGATTGCAATTTCTTTATAAAAAGCTTTTACTTATAAAACTTATAGAAGTTATTTTTTAGCTATTGGTAGGTAAAATAAAAAACATTTCCATTACAAGGTATAAAATAAAAATCTAAGGATAAGATGCTTAGGTGTTATTGTACCTCTAGATTTAGCAATAAATAAGCGTTTCAATTTGAGGTGAGAAATTCTATACTCACATGTTTAAAGCAGGTAACTGGAGCTGCTATAAAGCTATTGCTATTGATGTAGTTACCCCAGCTGAAACCTTCCATGGAGACTACTGTTGAAAAAAAAAGAAATTTAGATATATTACAATTCTCAAATCTTTTATCTTTAAAAAGGCTATTACTTTAAAATGTGAATTGATAAAAATTAATTTAGCACATTTAAAGTTGTGTTTTTATGTAAAGATTAAAGAACTTCTCTTGATGAACATGAATTTTGTCATCAGTCACAATTGCAAACAAATAGCAGTTAACTCTTTTACATACAACATATATTCCTCAGAAGTGAATTGAGAGCTCTCCAGTTATGAGAAGCCAAGAACAGCTGAGCAGGTGCTCATCACTAACATGGCTGTGGCTACTTTTGTTTTTATTCCCACACAGTTATTACGTGAGCCTCAGGGCTAAGTCTATCCAGTATCTACCACCTAATAGTAGGGCTTTCATTACTTTACTCCTTATTTACCTCCCGGCCAGAGAATATCCTATTAGAATGGTCCTTTTCTCTTTTGACTCGCTTCTACCCAACCCCCCTGAAGCCTGCTAAATATGCTATTTCTTTGCCAATTACCTTCACAACGCTCCCTACCACCCAAAGCACTGACAAACAGTACATAAAAAATACCAAACCAGATAAAAACCATTAATATAAAGGACGCTCTCACAAGTACGGGACAAAACCGTCATCAGGAAGCCTAGTGTCATGTGCTAATAGGGCATAGAAATAGCTTAGTTTACTAGAAACCAAATTAGAATGTCACTAATTAAAACTAGATGAATCTATCAAACTATTTCACCTCTATTACATTCACTCACATTACCTGCTTTAGTCTTTGCTTGATTTTGCAAGGTAGCTTGATACTGAGCATATGCGGCTAGTTTAGCAACTAAAGGTTGTTTCTGAAGAACTTTTGCTTTCTTTGTTGGAGGCTTACCCTAAAACAAGAAGAGTTAAGTAAATAGGATTCTTTTCACCTCCCCCCCATCAAAAACTAATTTGATTGCATACTACTCATTCTGCTTAAGTAAACATCGAGGGTTTAGAAAATTATTAAAGCAGAGGGAACATACAAGGAATTTTAACATGAGAAATGTATTCTTGAGTTCTGGCACAATGTAGATATCTAATATGGGTAGCAGAGCTGGCATAGACAAAAATAGCAATATGCAAATTAATATGTTAATAAAAAATTACATCCCATAAGATGTTAAAATATAGGCTGTGGTGGGTACTTGATTCTTTCTTTTACTAGATAAAACCAGTGGTTATTCACTCATGCAGGTTGCCAAGCATTGCTATTTATATGGTAAGAAAAGATAATTTAACGTTTAAAGAGTAAGTGACTGAGGTTTATACCTTTAGCGCTAACGCAAAAGATCAATGACAAAATGATCATGGGCCAAATTCACAGTGTGACAAACTGCCATCCATTTGGGTACAGACCAATGCTCTGGATCTTTAGGCACTGTCTTTCTGAAATATAGAAATACATCTAAGTGATGTATTTCCTTAATTTGGGGGACTTAAATAATCCTTTCAGTGCTATGTAATGATCACAGTAATAAATTAAAGGAGAATAAGAAAAATGTGATCACAAAAATAAAATATATTATAAAAATCAGATATGCAATGCCTTTAAAACATTGTTTATATGCTACAATAGTAAATCTTAGACAAATGGTCAACTCTCCAGTTATTCTGTAGGTATACAGAGAAATATGATTTTCCTTCTATATCATGAATGTTTTCAAAAAGGTTAGTTGGATTAACCAAATACATTTGGGCAAGGTATCAAATGGGTTATCAAAAGTACAAAGCAAAAATGATGGGAAAATAAAACCAAAGGGAAATCACAGCCCCTCAAATGCTGAAAGATTCTACCTCAATGTTAACTCAAAAGAAAACAAGAGGGAAAATGGCTTCGATTTCTGCATATAGAAAGGTATTTATTATGTTTATAATTATTTAGAAAAAGGATTTTTTAACCCACTTATAAAATTCAGTTAATTCTAGATAATATGCCTTGTCTACTTATAATAGTTGTCAATTCTACAGATGGAACAAACATGGGAGCTATTTCCTAAAAATGTGGGGTGTAAAATGATAACTGACCAATGGGGCAGAGTGGAGTGCGGTGAATCACATCAAATGACAGATAAACAGTGAAAGCCACAGAAATAACAGATATAAAGAATAAGAAGGTTTCTGTACCGTTACCTGAAGTCTGGCCAAAATGCTTGCCTTCTTGGAATTAGACGAATAACTTCTTGAACACGAAACACTGCAGAAACGCTTTGTTTTGGAGTAAAAAGCATCTCGCACACCAACCATCCCACACATTTCACAGGTAGCTAATAGACAAAACAAAAAGACTGGTGTCATGATCATATAATAAAATCAATTTTAATCTAATAGTTTAATAATTTCTCCAATTACCTAAAAGTTTTAATTTAAAAAGTTTCCTTCTCAAGGATAGAAAATTTCTTCTATCTGTTGCTATACAAATGGTAGAAAAGCCTAGACAAAAGTTAAGAGAAAAGATTGGTATGATGCCATAGCTAGGAGTACTGAAGTCTGACAGGCTCTAAAAAGGGTCAAAAGACACAGACAAATATAAGACAGATTCAACTAACATTTCCTTAGTGCTCACCAGGTGCCAGGCATTTTCATCTACATTATGAGCTGCAGTGTTTGAAAGGATTATAAACAAAAGATGAAAGGTGTAACACAACTGAGGAATAATACAAAGTATCGTGTAAGCCTTTAAAATATTGCAGAGATTGATACCTAAAAAACCAATTCTTGGAAAAACGCAAAGGGCAAAAGAACTAATCTCTCCAGATATGTTCAGGGACTAGACAAAGGGATAGGGCCCGAGCTTGAGGTATATGCTCTATTATTAACTAAAAAGGGCAACAAAACTCTACTATTGTGCATCTTTTGTAAATTAGCTTAATGGACAATAACGTGAAAGGCAGAACAGAAAGAAGAAGGGTCACAAGAACTGAAGTTCAAAAAAGATAAACAGGAATATACCCAGGAGTGGAACTGCTTAGTTATATGGTTTACTTTTCAATTTTTTTTTTTGAGAATTTGTCATACTGTGGTTTTTTTTTTCCTTTTTAAAGTTTATTTTTAATTGATTGTAGAGAAAGAAGGAGAGGGAGACAAAGGGAGAGGGAAGACAGGGAGGGATGGATGAGGAGAGAAAAGAAGAGGGAGAGGGTGAGAGAGAAACATTGATCAGTTGCCTCCTGTAAGCACCCTGACTGGGGATTGAACCCACAGCCTAGGCATGTGCCTGACCTAGAATCGAACCCATAACCTTTTAGGTGTAAGGGATGACACTCCAACCAACTGAGCCTTTAGGCCAGGGCATAAGATGGCTGAATTTAGTAAGTAAAAGGTTACTGAAGAGCTTCAAAGTCTTATACCTTGGTTTAAAAAAAAGATCAACCACAAAAGCACATGACTGGTTTAATTGGTTTATTTCATGTGGTACAGATCAAAGGGTTTTAGTTATTTGTAAATTCAGTATTAGTTTAAAAAAATGTTACAGCAATTTTGTTGCATGAATGGAAACATACTGTCCTGAAAAAAAGGGAGAGAAAAGACTGAACCCCCTTCTGCCCTAATCACACCGCGTGACCAACCATTTGCCTGAGGTATTTTCCAGGATGGGGATCTTTCAATCCTAAATCCAGGACAGTCTTGGACAAATTGTTACCCTATTACTGTATAACCTAAAGTATCCCCAGAAACAAGTCAGCAGGATACTGAAGAATTAAATCCCTGTGCTACTATGAGAAATGGCTAGGGCAACTAGGGTTACTTAGTGTGCAGGAGACATGCTAGAACTATGTCACCGTACAAAAATTAGAATTATCTGTGTACCTTTAAAAAGCAACATTAAGCCTGGCTGGTGTTGCTCAGTGGTTTAGTGTCGACCCATAAACTAGGAGGTCACTGATCGATTCTTATCAGGGCATATGCCTGGGTTCTGGGATTGATCCCCAGTAGGGGGTGTGCTGGAGGCAGCCGATCAATGATTCTCTCTCTCTCTCCTTATTTACAAACCTTTAAAATCTCTCTGAAATCAATAAGAAAAATATATTTTAAAAAAAGCAACATTAAGACCAAAAGATAGAAGTTAGAGCATAGATACTTTTGGTTTAATATAAAGAATATTCACTAGATACCCAATCACAGGAAGTATTAAAACAGAAAACTTACAAGAATTGTCATAGAGGAAAAGTCTCTTTCAAATCTATAAGTATTATCTTACACACTTTCAATCACATAAGATTTCATTATATAATCTTAAAATTTAAGTCCACATTAAATTTCTCAACAGCTTTCTCTTTTCATTTTGTTTTACTTGCTTTCCACTGGAAGGTGGTTGGTAGACAAAATAAAGAGATCAAGCACAAACCCAATGATCTACTCTCTAGAACTGTAAGTTTCTTCAAACTGCCCTTTAAAAATTCTAAGGGAGGGAAATGACAGAAGATATGGAATTAAAACATAAAGTTGTATAGCAGGTGAAGGCTGAGGCATTCATACTCACCCATGCCAGATTTGCCATCTGGGTATGTGTAGACTTGTCCATTGTTTTTGATAATTGGGAGATTAGAAGGTAAAGGAGCAACTTCCTCTTCACTCTCCTCAGAGCTGGAGCTGCTACTTGTGTCCTCACTGCAGCTATCATAACCGTCAAACATCCCGAATGAGTCTCTTCTTTTCCTTTGGGATCATGAAAATGTTCAATCTTAAAAGTACAAGAAATTAGTAATACATGACACAGCACTTATATACACCCCCTAAAAGACCTTAATTCAAAATTTGGCAAATGGAATTTGAAAAATGAAAACCTAGCCCCGAGAAATGGTAATTTTATTTTATAATGAAAAGCTAAACGTTTGTGTAAAAATGGAGTCCTCCACTTATCTGAGACACAAATTTATTAGCTACAATGTTAGCTAACAAGAATAACAATAATGATGGTAAGAACACTGACTGAATCAGAAGCTCATCCTGTAATTCAAGTTTTGCCATAAACTAGGTGTGTCACTTCTCTATAAGAGATTACATCAGTTGATTTAAAAAAATTTGTGCTAAAATACACACAACAGATGATTTTTTAACTTGCATTTCATCTCTAAATCTGCCAACGTCTAGACCAGTGGTCGGCAAACTCATTAGTCAACAGAGCCAAATATCAACAGTACAACGATTGAAATTTCTTTTGAGAGCCAAATTTTTTAAACTTAAACTATATAGGTAGGTACACTGTTATTAACTTAATTAGGGTACTCCTAAGGCTTAGGAAGAGCCACACTCAAGGGGCCAAAGAGCCGCATGTGGCTCGCAAGCCGCAGTTTGCCGACCACTGGTCTAGACAAGCAATTTCAACTAGTGTGCTGCAAGAATTTTTAAAACATGCAATATCTAACTATTTAGTCATTGACCTCTTTTTCCTTAGACTGTCAAATTAAAAAATGACAACAGCCAACACAACAATAATTGCCCAGTGTGTCTTGAACCGTAAGTATATATGTGATATAATAGAGTAGCATCTTATTGGTAACATTACATAATAAGGTTGCATCTGGTTGGTTAAGTCTTGGCACCAGAAATTCTTTTTTCTTTATTTTTATTTTTATTGATTTTTTACAGAGAGGAAGGGAGAGAGATAGAGAGTTAGAAACATCGATGAGAGAGAAACGTTGATCAGCTGCCTCCTGCACATCTCCCACTAGGGATGTGCCCGCAACCAAGGTACATGCCCTTGACCAGAATCGAACCTGGGACCGGTTTCAGCCAGAAATTCTTATATAGAAGTATAGGCACCTGATTCTTTTAAAAGCCACTTTGGAGCCCTGCCTGGGTAGCAGAGTTGGTTAGAGCGTCATCTCAATACGCCAATGTTGTGGGTTCAATCCCCAGTCAGGGAACATACAAGAATCAACCAATGAATGCATAAATAAGAACAACAAATTGATATTTCTCTCTCTCAAATTAATACATAAAATGTCACTTTGGAGCAAAAAGGGTAGGTAATTACTATTTTTTTCCTGAGCAGGTCTCAACAGGTTTAAAATACTCAGTAAACCATGTTGTAAATAGATGTGCAGCCATCCACACTTTGTTGTTCCACTTATAGTCAGAATAGGTTCCACATAATTCTTAAGGGCCCTAGGATTTTCAGAATGATAAATGAGCACTGGCTTCAATTTTCACCATCTGAATTCGACCTTACCAGAGAGTCAGCCTGCCTTTGAAGCTAGGCAGTGACTTCTCTTCTCTAGCTATGGAAGTCCTAAATGGCATCTCCTTAAAATATAAGGCTGTTTCCACTGAAAATCTGTTGTTTAGTGTAGCCATCTTCATTGTTGTAGCTAGGTCTTCTGCACAGCTTGTTGCAGCTTTCACATCAGCACTTGGCTGTTTCATCTTGCACTTGTTATGGAGATGGCTTCTTTCCTTAAACCTTATGAACCAACATTTGCTAGCTTCTAACTTCTGCAGTGTCCCCATCACTCTCAGCCTTCCTAACCTGC